GGGAAAATAGGCTATGATGTTGGTTCAGCCACAGGTAGGTAACTGAAAAGGCAGGGATCAAGCCAGTATTTATCAGTAGCCTGTGGTGTACCAGGGAATAAAATTACAAGGCTTTGGGGCAAGGCAGATGTGGGTTTGGGATTGCTCCCCTTGGCCATTGCTTAGGATATGGTTTATTGCTTCTAGTCAAACCTTTTTGGTGCTGGGTAACACTCTGGCGTGATTGGCCAGACTGACATTTTCATTATGCAAATATGATTGTCGCTTGCAGTGTGTGTCCCTAAATGTGCAGAAATAGTTATTTGGAAACTATCATATCACTCAGCAAGAGCTGAAATATGGATTGACCCAGAAAAAGTTGCAGGCAGTGCTATGAATATCTTCTTCTGGGTATATGCTGGGTTGGATCCAATAATGTTATCAACATCAGGCACTTTCTGACAAATCTTTCCTACCAACTCCTTCCCACAATGATTCTTGTGACTTTCATAAAGTTGATACTGGCCTGTGTGGATAAAAAGCTGTGCAGCCCAAAGTGGCTGCAAGGTGGAAGGGGTGCCAGGGGAAATTGCTTCCTCCTTGCTCTTGCACCACTGGCAGGTCTTGTGCCAAAATAAGTGCTGCTGGAGGAAGGGGTTGGTGGGTGCAGTTTCTCCTGGTTCTCCTTTCTCTATGCAGTGGTCCTCCTTGGGTCACCTAATGCAGAGTTGTTGAACTGATTTGTTACGTTGGCTGGATCGGACACAAATGTCACTTTGTCAGGCTGGGTCATGTGTGCCATAAAATGTAACATGAGATACCAGAGATATAAACTTTATAAAGATGATTTCAGATGCTGATTGGCAGTAGCAGGCATGATTGGATTAGGTGTGATATGCTAAGGGATAGTAGGCATGGAGATATCATTGATAATCAGACAGGAAACATAGGTCTGGTACGGGAGGATTCAGTCCAGGAGGATGCAAAGAATAAATGGAAAGAAGTCTGAAGAAATGAGCAGTGACTCAAGAAAGCACATACCCTGCCACAAATTTTGCTAGTCTTCAAGGTGCTACTGGACTCTTACTCTTTCTACTGCTATTAGAAGCCGCAACATTCAAAAACAAGTGGGAGAACATTTTAACCTTCCAGGACATTTAGTTGCTGACCTAAGAATAACAGTTTGTCTTACAAAGTATTTCCAAAGGGAGATTAGAAAGAGAGACTACTGAATTGCAACTGATAATGAAGCTCAAAACAATGCATCCTCCTGGACTGAATTGAGACCTAGGTTTCTTCTCTCATTTACCAATGCCTGCTATTGTCATTTGGCATCTGAAATAACTTCACTTCAAGATAATAAGGACAGATGGACTCCCATTCTAGCTGTATCTGAAGAAGTGAGCAGTGATTCATGAAATTCATGCCCTGCCACAATTTTTGTCAGTCGTTAAGGTGCTACTGGACTCTTACTCCCTTCTACTAATAAAGAATGCAAGCTGTGCTGTTAGGTTTCTTCTCCACCATCTGTTAGAACTGGAAAGGGGGATCTTTCCAAGTGCCATGGGACTCCCTCTCTCTCTCTGGCATGCTCTCTCTGGTTCTTTCCCTCCCTCCGCCCTTCTCTCTCTGAAGAAGTGTGCTTGCACACAAAAGCTTATACCTGGAATAAAATGTTGTTGGTCTTCTTAAAAGTGCCACGAGACTCCATCTCTCTCTCTCTCTCTCTCTCTCTCTCTCTCTCTCTCTCTCCCCTCCCTCCCCCCTAGAGGAGGGGGAGGAGCCCTCAGCCAATCGAGGGAAGGGAGGCTTGGCTTTCTGTCTTCTGCAAAGCAGGAAATAGGAGAGACTGGGCAAAAGGAGCTGCGATGCAGGAAGCAGGAGCAGGAAGCACCAGACTGCCAGTTGCGTGCTGGCTGGATAGCAGCCCTGCAGGGGCTGGATCCAGCCCATGGGCTGTATGTTTGACACCCCTGTCCTAGTGGGTACCATAACCTCCAGCATACACATTTTGGAGGCTTAAGAGTTATTGAGGGAAGGGTAAATCTGCATCTATGATCATCCTTGTGCTCAATTTTCATTGAATCCAGCCCACTGGTTGTGAATCTTCTTTTTTTTCATTTTAAATCTTAAGAACTGATAAATCAGTAAGATTTGGTCAAAAAGCATTATTGCATTAATAAATTATTTCCATTTTTTAATAAAAATGCATTGTACTAACAAAAATTGCACTCCTTTGTTTTCCTGCTCTGCCTATGTACTTCCTAATATATTACTGATTATTTTGAATTTCAGAATTTTGCAAGATCTTGGAACCTCCTGTGAAGAGATCCATTGTTTTAGAGCCTAAAAAGCCAACATGAGAACCTCCTTTTCTGTATTTTACTGTCTACATATTTATCTTTTTTGTTTGTTTGTTGTTTGTTTGAATTCTTTGGGGCAAAATGTTATGCATGAACATCATGTTCTTGTGTGATTACTTGAATATTTGGGGAATAACTTTATATTCTGCTGTTTTGAAAATATATTTTTGCTACCGTGTAAAAACTTAACAAGAATATATTAGGGATAAATAGATGAGCGTAATTCTGATGTGTCTTGAGAAATAAGTGTCTTTCTCATGTGTCCTGAGTAATAGGAACATTGTCTTTCTCAGATACAAGATTAGTAGCATGTCTTTGCACTGATTACTTTTGGCTATATAGGTGCCAGAGACTTCCTTTATTAGAACCTCATTATTGTAAAATGTCTTGTTAGCAATAGAGTATGAATTTTGTGCATTGCACTTTTAACTCAGGAAAACTGTTTGGTTACAGTACAAGCTTACTGATATCAAAAAGCTGTAATATTTTAGATTAGTGTTTTGTCCCTGTAGATGACACTCCAAATAACCATTTTGTATCCTAAATTACCTTTTGTATAAGAAAAATAAAAACAAGAGAGCATTGCATTAAAGTCAAATATATTTTTATTATTTCTTAAGCAGAATCTTTGTTTTTTTTTTCTTAGTACCAATTGTTGTCCTTAGTTATAATTGGGAAACCCAGGTTTGAGTCTGCCATGGAAGTTTGTTGAGTGACCTTTGGCCAATCAGGATTTTCCAGCCCACCCTTCCTCACAGTGGTAGTTATGCGGATAAAATGCAGGGGAGAACAATGTATTAAGCTCCCTTGGGCCCTCGTTGTGGGTGGGAGGGTGAGAGAGCAAGAGATTATGGATTTTACAGGTGTGATGATTGGGTAAAATTTTGTGCTCTGAAGAACAGGAATCTAAACGCTGTGGGGGCATGAGTAACTGCAGAACAGGGGGCGGGGGAATAAACACTTCAGAAATCGTATACTATTCCACCTAGTTCCCTTCTCTAAGATTTGAAAGCTTTTTGAGCAGGCTGAGCTTTTTTCCACCCATCAGGTCATTTCAGTATTTTCCTTTTCCCACTCTTATTTAATTTACAAACCTCTATCTTTCTCAAGTCTGGGTATGTAGTAGGCATCTAGAGACCCCTACTTTGTTTCTTGGTGGTGGCTTGTGTTATCCACAGAGGGACTACTGTGTTTCTTGATGGAGCTCTTCTCATAACAGCTAGTAGCCGACAGGAAATTCAGAAATGAAGTGCCACAGGTGGTGTAGGGACACACACTAGGAAATTACTGATGTTCACTTTCAAACAAACTGCTGTATGGTATGGTCCCAGGAATACTTTCTGCTTCTGATATCCATGCTAACCATAACAAGCAGATCATATGCACATGTCTATTCATGTCTTAAAGCAGGTAAGGTCCGTTTTATAAAAACAAAGAGTGCATTACAGGAGTAAGCCATGCCACTTCCACCACTTCACAGTACTGTATTCTGTGTGCTACTTTATTAGGTCATTTATTCCAGGGATTGTCAGTCCCTTCACTCTTCTTGGGTAGAGAATCTTCACATGCTCACTGTCTAGATGCCCGTGACCTACCTTCTCTTTTCCCTACCATGATGTTGTTGTTGACTATATGTCATTAGCTTTCATTACATTGAAATAAAAATGATGGCCACATTTATTTGAGTGACAAAAGGTAATAGTTTTAAATATTTACCTTTATATTTCATTAACACTTTCCTTGTTGATGAATTCTGAGATTTCATTAGGCATTGTTCACACACCTTTGAAGTATAAGTCTGAGTCCAGTGACACCTTTAAGACCAACAAAGGTTTGTTCGGTGTATAAGCATTTGTGTGCATGTTCACTTCTTGATCTACTGCTTCAGACCAACATGTCTACCCACCTGAATCTCCTTTGAAGTATGTTAAGAGTTCACAGGGATGTTGAGGTTTGTGTTTTATATTGATTTCTGAGTTTGTTACATTAGATTTAGAAGTTGTAGAAGGCACATGTCCTACCTCCAACTCTCTCCTTTGAAAGGCAAAGCTCTAAAGTAGCATCCCTTAGTATAATGGTTGTTCCTGGTCCCTGGGAATCCTTAGATTCTTCGCATTAAGTACTGAATTACTTCAAGACAAACATCTTGCAATGCAGTCCCCTGTTAGCTGGTTGTCATAGTAACACAGGCATACAAGCCTAGGGAAAGTAAACAGCTGGAAGAGGCTCATGCTGCTCTGTTCATGGCTGGCAGACTAATTTGGCCACAACTGCTTAGTCAGTGGCATAAAAAAAATGGTTGTACACAAGCAGTGTGCTCAGATACTTATTGTTGAAGGCACAGGTAGCTTTTGAAAGTTCATCTGCTTTTTGCATCTTGAAATATTGACATGGCACTTTAAAGTGGTTTTCTGCCCCCACAAGAGGGAATTGAGGGTTTTAAAAATTACATTCTTCAGAATCACCAGACTGGAAAATGTTAGAAAAAATCATGATTTATTGACCATGTCACAAGTTTCCCTTAGCAAACCCTTTCTAAGCTACCTTCCGTTGTTTAAATGAATGCTAAGAGGGAACTGGATGGTGCATCATTCTAGGAAGCAGGAGATTTGCAGAGTATGAGGCATGGGCAAGAGCATCCTTATTGAGTGGAAGGCGGGAGATGAAGGCAGCTCTATTGAACTATTTCATCAGTTGCCTGTGCTCATTAATCACTAACAGAAAGTGCAAGAATTACTGATCCACCCTAAGCACCCTCTACATACAGAAGTAATGGATAGATACATGCACTGGGTTGGATCCCACATATGCATGTTTCACACCTCTTTCCCCTTCCCACAGCAGTTCTTTCCAATCCTAGGAAAGTTCATTCCTATTGGGTCCCAGGTCAGGAGGCTGCCGTGGAGAGGGGAAAGGGACCAAAGTCGCTCCCTTGTTCATCAGTGGAGCTTTTCTGATGGAAGATGCTGAAATGGTGATCTCATCCCCTCTGCAGCTTGCCGACCTATATAGCTGTTAGTCCAGGTGTGTCCTTTGCCTCCCAGGAAAAATTTCCCCTGGATCAGGAAAGACTGCTAGAGGGTGGGGAACATGGGAGAGATCTGTGACCATCAGTACCATATGCTGATGGATTATGAGATCTAACCACTAGTCTTGCAGAAAAACGTAGATGTTCTCCCTAGAACTGCACTGGAGGTTGTGAGTTGCTTCCAGAATGCCTGTGTAACCCCCAGGGGTCATTTCCTGCAGGAGCCCACAGGAGCGGAGCTCCGGCAGTAAAGAGCCCAGGGGGCGGGCACATGCAACAAGCCCCACCCCCTGCTCCCAGCAGCCCACAGTCAGAGCAAGAAGCAGCCAGGTAAGCTGCAGAGCCCGCCCCCCCCCCCCGGACCAAAACAGTCCAGTGGCACCTTTAAGACCAAGTTTTGTTCAGGTACAAGCTCTCCCTCCTCTGTGAGTACAGATCTGCACGTTCCTCCCCCCACCCCCCAACAGCTAGCAATCCAAAACAGTCCAGTGGAGCCTGAGCGGTGGGTGTTGCCTTCTGACACACTTCTGGTGATGCCAGGGGGTGTGGCCTATGCAAATGAGTTATGCTAATGAGTTATGCTAATGAGCTCCTGCACCTCTTTTTCTACGAAATGACCCTTGGTAACTCACCTTGGTTCGGCCCAGTAGGGATGGAGTTGGGGAATGGGGGCTAGCACCAGAGGGCGAGTGTTTGCTGGGGAGTTGTATAAAATTTTGGGGCTCTTATTTATTAAAACATTTATACCCCACATTTCCTTCTGGTTCAAGGAATTACTTACAGTAGTAGTAAAAAAAATAATTCAGTTTAAACCAGAACAAAATAACAAACCCCAAATCTCTTCCTCCCTCCTTATCAACTTGTGTAAGGTAATTTAAATTTGTGTATATGAAAAGTCAATAGGTAAAGGGGAATTAAATTTACTATAACTGGTGGTATTTCTGTAATATTATTGCTGGCCTGTGTCTTTAAAGCTGCAAATGGCAGTCTCATAATTTTGTTGGCTAAGTTGTTGAAACTGAACACCTTTGACAGAGGAATGAATGAGAAGATCCTTGAGAGGATTCTGACACCTTGGTGAACTTGGGAAGAAGTTGAACACCAACTCTCACAAGCAAGCACGTACCAGTTCTTTAATTGAATTCAAAGAAACTAATAAGAACATAAGAAGAGCCCTGCTGGATCAGACCAATGATCCATCTAGTCCTAAGAACATAAAAGAAGCCAATGTTGGATCAGGCCAATGGCCCATCCAGTCCAACACTCTGTCAAAAATACCAGGTGCCATCAGGAAGTCCATCAGTGGGGCCAGGAGACTAGAAGCCTTCCCACTGCCCCCCCCAGCATCGAGAATACAGAGCATCACTTGCCCCAGACGGAGAGTTCCTATCTATACCTTGTGGCTAATAGGCACTGATGGACCTCTGCTCCATATGTTTATCTAATTCCCTCTTGAAGCCATCCATGCTTGTAGCCGCCACCACCTCCTGTGGCAGTGAATTCCATGTGTTAATCACTCTTTGGGTTTATTTATTTATTTATTTATTTGTCGTATTTCTCGCCCGCCCGCCCGCCCTGAAAGCAGGCTCAGGGCGGCTCACATTACTTGGCCCACTGGGCCGAGATTCATATAAACATTTAAAACCAATCAAACAATCAGTTACAATAAAACCAGTTAATCAATTACAATATACAAATTAAAGTGCTCACAGTACGTTTTAGGCAAGATGGTGTGCCATATAGGGCCAGAACATCCCACTCAGCAGTGGCGCAATTGCATTGCAGCCCAGCCTATGCTGCAGATAGTAATAGTGGCTGTTGGTGGTATTAGTGGGCGGCTCCTAATTGAAAGCCTGGTGGAAGAACTCCGTCTTGCAGGCCCTGCGGAACTGCATAAGATCCCGCAGGGCCCTGATCTCCAGGAGCTCGTTCCACCAGTAAGGAGCCGCCACTGAAAGGCCCTAGCTCTGGTCGCAGCGAGCCTGGCATCCCTGGGGCCTGGAACAACCAGCCAATGTGACCCCGACCGTAGTGCTCTCTGGGGTATGTATGGGGAAAGGCGGTCCCTCAGGTATGTCGGACCCTGGCCATTTAGGGTTTAAAGGTAAGTACCAGCACCTTGAAGCAAATTTGGTATGCTATTGGCAGCCAGTGCAGTGCCTTCAGCGCCGGCCGGATGTGCTCCTGTCTAGGAAGACACATCAACAGTCTGGCCGCGGCATTCTGCACTAGCTGCAGCCTCCAGATTTGCGACAAAGGCAGCCCCATGTAGAGAGCATTACAATAGTCTAGCCTCGAGGTGACCATTGCGTGGATCACTGTAGCCAGATCCTCACGATCGAGGAAGGGAGCCAACAACCAGACGAAGATAGTAAAGGGCCGACTTGGTAGTGGCTGCTACCTGGGCCTCCATTGTTAAGGAGGGTTCCAGGAGCACTCCCAAACTCCTAGCCCCTGGCGCAGGCACCAATGGCGCCCCATCGAAGGTCGGGAGCCTGAACCCCACACCACCCCGACTCGCTGGATTTAGCTTCAGCCAACTCAGT